CCCCCACCAGCTGAGGGTGGCTCTCAGTGTCCTGTCACTGCCATCTGACTAGCCTGGTGTGCAGGCTGGGAGCCTGTCTGAGGGGCAGGTCTTCAGGGTGGGTGGCCGGGGGCTGGCACCTGCCTCCTCGCCTGCCCCACACTGACTGGCTCTCACTTCCTGTCTGGGCCCAGCTGGGAGGACTTCTCACTTCCCCAGAGGCCTGGCCCCCCCACGAGACCCTCCTGCCACCTCCCCTTCCCTCTGGTGGCTGGCCCTTCCCTGCCTGCTGCGGCTCATGTCCCTCAGAACCCCTTTGGGACTCACCCGCTGTGTCCTGCCCCTCCAGGTACTGTTTCAGCTCATCTGGGGGTGCACCTCGCAGGGTCCCAGACATATACCAGGGCTGCACAGCTGGCTGGGGTTTTGTCACCCAGTGCACTCTGCAGATCCCAGGCAGGAGCCCCGAGGCCGGCAGATGCTGCTGTCGAGCCCTCAGCTAGGTTTCCTCCAGTGACGGGGTACTCACCACCACCGTAGCAGTCTTTGCTGCCGCTCTCAGCGCCTTCTCTTGAATCCCAGCAATGGGCCTGGTGACCCGGCAGAAGTGCTCCAGCACAAAGAACACTGTGTGCAGCTGCGACCAAGGCCACTTCTGCGTGAGAGAGGATGGGGACGACTGTGCCGAGTGCAGGCCCCACAGTGTCTGCAGGCCAGGCCAGAGGCTGCAGGAAAGAGGTTAGCCACAGGCGCCGGGCCACCCCCAGCTCCCTCGGCCTGGTGCCCTCGCTCCCATGAAGAGACGGACCCCAGACCCAAGCCCAAGGGGTGGGGGGAAGCCCGGGCCCCGAGGCCCCCTCTGCCCAGCCCTCTTGTTTCTCAGGCACCGAGTGGCAGGACACGGTGTGTGCAGACTGCCTGCCCGGGACTTTCTCTCCCAATGGGAGTCTGGCGGAGTGTCAGCTATGGACCAAGTAGGTGACCCAGGTGGTGTGAGCCCCGTGTCCCCAGGAGGGGCCTCCTCAGAGCTCCCCTGGGAGATAAGGGCCTTCCCCCCACAGAAAGGCTGTTAACCCACCCCGGCCACTCCGCTAGAATCCTGTGGCTTTCATGCAACATGCCACATCGGCCAAGAGCCCGTGTCAGCTCCTCACAGTTCCTGGAGGAGAGCGGGCTGCTGTGGCCAGAGCCCTCAAACCCTGTGGTCTGGGTGTCCCCAGTGTCAGGGAAGAGGGGCTTCCCTGCGATGTGGGGTGCTCAAAGGGAGCACCCCATGCCCCCTGCAGCAGGAACCCCCCAAATGTGTATCCCTGGGTCCCAGCCCTGACCTGAGTTCTAGAGTCCCTGGCAGGAGCCTGGGGTGACCAAATGTGGCTGCCACAAGGGAGGGATACAGAGGTCCTCTGTGTCCACCCTCTCCACCCCTCCCCACCCCTCCCCGGTCTGTCCCTCTGTCTCCACCCTCCACACCCCTCGCTGACCCTCCCCAGGTCTGTCCCTCTGTCCACCCTCCACACCCCTCACTGACCCTCCCCAGGTCTGTCCCTCTGTCCACCCTCCCCACCCCTCCCTGACCCTCCCTGGCCCTCCCCTGGTCTGTCCCTCTGTCTGTTGTCCTGGCTTTAACAGTTTTCTGTCCCTGACCCTGGGTGTGTCTTCGTGCTCTGTCTCCTTCGCTGTCCTCTATGTGTCCTGGGTCTCTAGCTGTCGCTGTCCTCGCTCCCTCTCTCCTGTCATGTGTCCCCGTTCCATCCTTCCTCTTCCTCCCTGGCCCCCCGTCTCTTCGTAGCTGTGGGACATGGAGAGTCAGACAGACCTGCATTCGCTCCCAGAGCTGCCCTCTCACCGGACCGCCCTGGCTGTGCCGCAGGTCATCCTATACCCGCGTGTGCTGCCCGCGTACCCACCACACCCCTCTGTCCTAGGTGCAGCAGCCTGCTGCAGGTGGAATCAGGCCCCGGGACCAGCAGCACAGATGCCATCTGCTCCTTCTGGCCACTTTGGGTCCTATTGGCTGTCATCCTTCTCATTGCCATTCTTGGGCTCTTTTTCTTGTTCACGGTGACGAAATACAGAAAGTTACTTGGTGAGCAATGGCCCACGGTCCCACCAGGGCTCAGGTCCCAGCATTCCCAACCCAGACACCATCCCTGGCCCTGAACCTCACATCATGGGGGTGGGGCACGGGCTGCCTGGGAGGGTGGGGCCTCCTGGACCGCATGTCCAAGCCTTGGGCCGCCCCAGTGCCCGCTCACTGCCGTGGACCCCGAGTTCCCGCCTGCCCTTAGGGGACACAAGCACAGTGAGGGCTGAAGTCAGCAGGGAGGGCACCGGGTCACCACACGGGGAGTCGTTCACCCCTTCGTTCACTGCCTTGTGCAGTGTCCACTCTGCTCTGGGCTCTTCGTCTGGGCCACGCCCCAGCTGGACACAAGGATCTGGCTGTGGCGACCCAGCTCTGGCCTTGGGGAGCCCAAGCAGGCCCAGTGGGGTGTGAGCCCGGAGCAAAGACATGCAAAGGGGAGCGGTCGGCCAGGTCCTCAGGCTGCCGCCTGTCCTGCGTCCTCACCTGGGCCCCAGGCTGCAATGGGGTCTCAGCGTCCCGGACTCTGAGCAGGCTGGGCAGAGGCCCACGACCCTTATCTCCCACTTCTGGGGTACCTGCTCTTTGAGGAGTGGGGGGACCCTCTTTTGTGAAGTGCTCACCCCTCTTGCTAGTTGATGGTCAAATGGGGTGAGTTAGGGACGGGTTTGGCAGCTGGGGAGGTGGACAGGCTGTGTCCCCATGTCGTTTCATCTGTCCCGGCGCCCTGGGGACAGGCCTGGCAAACAGCCCTGTCCACATCAGTCTTGTCTGCCTCTGAGAGGGTCAGTCCCTGGGCACAGGTTTCACTGCCAGAAGCAGGAAGCGAGGGTCTCCCCACTGCTGTGCGGCTCCTCCCTGACAGGTGTGTCTCTGTTTTGCAGGAAGATGCACCCAAATGATATACTTTCCTCAGGTATTGTTGTGTGTTCCCCACCGGAGGAGATGCTGCTGGGCTGGGTGGGAGCCCCAGTTCTCTGTGGGTGCCAAGTCCTTAGGCCAGAGCCTTGCTAACTCGGGAGGGATGCCACAGCCCCGCCCTCTGGAGACGGGCTGCCCCTGAGCATCATGGCCCAGGGGCTGGAGCCAGCCCAGTCTTCACGCTGAATGTACTTGGCAGAGTAACAGACGGAGGGCAGAAGAAGACGCCCCAGCTGTCCAGGTCCTGCAGGTCTCACAGCCCCTGCCAGACGTCACCACAGAGGCCGTGGAGGAGACAACATCCATGTCCCTTAAGAGGGACCAACCAGCTGATAAATGGCCCCAGAATGCACATGACTGAGCCATCTCCACTGCACCTGATAAAAGCTGCCAGGCCCCCGAGGACCAAATGTGGGGACCAGGGAGCTGGTGGGACCCACTCCTGGATGCCTTAGCCTCCACCCAGCAGAGGAAGAGACCAGTTACTGCTCAGAAGGCTTTGGGGACCCCACACACCTCCTCATCAAACGCATGAGATGCCTTAAACTTTCCTTCACCTGTGTGCTCACTGGCACCCTGAGGACTCACCCACGTGAGCCTCTTGACTCTGGGCCGCCTGCTCACTGCAGGATGGGCCTGCGGCCACCTACCTCCTGGGGCTGGGACTGGGCTGAAGGGCCATGAACGTGACATTATGTACCTGCCACGCTGCACAGAGGTGAGCGTGCATGGGGATGTTTTATTTTTTTTTAAAGATTTTTTTTATTGGGGAATTGGTGGAGGGGAACAGCACTGGGGAATCGGGGAAAGGGGAACAAACAAGTTGCTGTCGTTTTGTTCTTCAGTCTAGTTGTGGAGGACATTGCTTCACTGGCCCAAGTTGGCACCATCATTGCGCTCTTCCCGGGTGAGGCAGATCAGTTGCCGGCTTCTGGGCCAAGGATGGGAGGACGCTCTAGAGTGAAGGCCGGGGTCCATGGGAGACCGCCCGCCCAGTGGGGAGGGCAACGCTGTGGGGGGGGCGGGGCGGGCACCAGGACTCAGCCAGGGACTGAATAAGCTGGAGGCCAGGCCCTGGTGACACTGGCGGCAGGTTCCCAAAGGGTGGCAGCTCCAGATCAGGGCTCTTGCAAGACAGGCCTGGCCTGTCTGCCTATGTGCTGGTCAGCCTCCCACCCCCAGAAGCTCAGCTGCACAGACTAACACCCCAGCCAGCAGGGTGCCCATGAGCCCAGGCGCCTGCTGCGGAAGGAAGGCTGCTGCTAGCAGGAGGGACCCAGGGCCCCCACTCCCTCAGGACACTGGGTGGGAGAAGTGGCACGGAGGAGACAAAGGGAGGAGCACAAATTAGCTACAGTGAAGAGATGAGGGGGGCTCGGGTGTGGAGATGGGGCGTGGGCACAGGCCTGCTGGGCAGGGAGCCGCTGGAGGGCTCACAGTGGGGCTATGGGGTGAGGCCCCCCTGAGTGGGGAGCCTCCTGCGCCCATAGACAGGTCTGCCCTGTCCTGTCCCACGACTTCCCTCAGGACACCCCATAATCAGTTCTACCCCTGGATTGAAAAAAAGGGCCACATCGGAGAACCACAATTAAATACATCAATTAAAAGCCCGTCGGTGCCTCTGTCACAGGAGACGTGGGCGCTGCAGACCAGCCCAGCGGGCACTGCCCACGCAGTGGGTTTGCACCGCTGCTGAGGGTCACTGAGCTCCGGGAGCGCCCCCCCCCCCATATGCTGAGCTCCTTGCTCAGGCCCTGAGCTGGTGTCCAGGCAGTCTGTGTGTGCAGCTCAAACCCTGGTCTGTATTTGTATAAAACAGGTCCCTAGTAGCATTTGGGCTCTTGCGAAACTGTTTTGAGATGTTACATTTTGACCTTTGCAGTGCGCTCAGAGGTTACACAGTGACAATGGTATGTACACTTCTCACTATAGAACTGACGCATTCCTGGCTGAAAAATGAGTCCCTGTCTCGGTGGCGTTGGCCCTCACCTGCACAGGTGAGCCCAACAGCGTTCAGGACCTGCCAGCCAGGACAAGCACCAGGAGGCTGGCAACCTCCATCCCTCTGGCAGGCAAAGAAAAAAACCCGTGAGACGTCTCCTACACAGTAAAGAACTGGGCATTTCTGCTCCAAGGGCATTTAAGGATCTGGGCAGCGGCAGGGGAGGGCCCGGGCAGCTCCACTTCATTCCAGACGCTCAGGAGCAAGGCCGAGAGGTGAGCCCTGAGGTCTGGGGTTGATCCAGTGCCTTCGCCCACCCCCATTAGACCTACCCCAACCTAGAAGGAATGGGGACCCTTGTCCCCTAAGGGGTCATGCACTGGTTGAGGTGCACTGGGACTTGATGGTGACTCCTGGCTGCCCAAGCTTGCATCCTTCAGGGCTTGGGGAGAAGGCACTGTGCTGGCCAAGGTGGCTGTGGGCAGGCGAGAAAGCAACTTATGTGAACTTGGACATGACTCTCCGGTTGGATACTGGATGGACGGGGTGTTGTGGGGACACTTTGGGGCCCATACACACTGAGTGGGCAGAGAGGTGTTGAGTTGTGAGCGCCACCCTTGGATGTGAGGACCCGTTTCCCATGCCCTGGCTCTGGGACTCTCACTTCTCCAAGGAGCCCTGGTTGTTTTGATGGAGGATGGTTTGGGAAGCCACCGTGTGCAGCCTAGAGTACTCACTGTCACTGGGATGTCATGCTTTGAGGGTTTCTTGGTGGGCACAGTAGGGAATGTGGATCACAAAGTGGTTGAAGGCTGTCTTGTGAGACAAATCAGGGACAATTTTAGCACCAAAAGAAATGACGATAGCCATGGATGAGATCCATTGAAGAAAGTGAGAAACCACGAGTGAACTAACTACAGTGGAGAGCAAACTGTGTCACCCTTGGGTGTCTCTCCAGTAGTCACTGTCCAGGTAATTCATCGATGGGTGACACTGATGGCTATTTTCAAAGCATCTTGCCAAAATATACTTTGTTTTAGATGAAGCATGTGAATGTTTTATTTATCCGCAGAGCTGGGGAATCTCAGCTCCCCAGGGATGACATTCCCGGGTCCTGCAGAGGCAGGGCCCCCTCTCCACAGAGCCAGCCTGGCCTCTCCCCCTTTCTTCCTCCCTCCAGGCTGGGCAACCGGCCAGCGCTTTTAACCTCTGGGTGCCCCCCCCCTTTCTGCTCTCCACGCCTTCAAAACCCAGCAAAAGGAGCTCCCTGTTTCTGACCCTGGGACTCGGTTCTGGTCTGGTACCCGGACCTTCAGCGCCACCCCCAGGCTGAGGCGGCAGCAGCAGAACAGAGGGCTGGGCCTGCGTCCCCTTCTCTCCTGTGGGCCCCGTGGAACCAGCGTGGGCTCTTCCCCGTCCCCAAACACAGGCCAGGTGGCTGCCCTCCCTTCTCCAGCCTGGAGTGGTCTGTGGAGTCAGGCCAAGCCCCCGCAGGCGGGCGGGGCGTGCCCAGGTGGGACCCCACTTCTGTGTCACGTCTTCCTCCACCCCTCAGGCCCTAGGCGGTAACTGGGTCACACTGGGTGTCACAGGGCTGTCGTGAGGCAGAAGCAAGACAAATCCGCAAGGCACCGAGTAAGCTGCGGCTCTGTCCTTCGGGTTCGTTTTACCCAAAGTTTTGGGGTTAAAAGCCGATATTTAGCTGGCATGAAATTGACAGTATTTTATGATTACAGCCGACACGGACCTGTAGTTGAGAAAGCGCTGCGTTCGATAGCCTCCCGGCCTCCACGCCCGCGACACGGGAGCTCACACTGCTCGCCTTCGCTCGGTCCCGCACACCACGTACCACGTCGCTGCCTCTACCGCCTCCCCTTTGGGTCGGGACCCCGGGACACCGGCCGCGCTGCTCCTCCGCCCCCCGCCCCCGGCCCGGCGCAGCACTCTGCGCAGGCGCATGCCTGCGGGCCGCGGTCAGGCTCCGTCCACCGCCGACGCTGTGGCGCCGTGGGCCGAAGGGCTCATGCTATGCAAACTAGGTGGCTGAGCTGTTTGGGCGGCTCGCCGGGGCGAGGAAGCGTTTGGGAACGCGGCCTGTGCAGAGACGCGATCCGAATCGGGGCCTGGGCAAAGAGCAGGCCTAGAGGCGGGGCCGCCGCTGGGCGGGGCCTGGAGCCCGGCGCCCGCGCACACCGGAGGCGGGGCGCGGCCTCTGCTGGGCGGGGCCTGGGTAAAGAGCAGGCCTAGAGGCGGGGCAGCGGCGTGGGGGCGGGGCCGGAGCTGGGCGGGGTCTGGGCAAAGAGCAGGCCTAGAGGCGGGGCGGCGGCCTGGGGGCGTGGCGCCGCTGGGCGGGGCCTGGAGCCCGGCGCCCGCGCACACCCGAGGCGGAGCGCGGCCGGTGCTGGGCGGTCCCTGCGGCAGGAGGACCGGGCGGGCAGCAGCCATGAACTCCGTGGACCTTGCGCGCGTGGGCGC